TCATTGCCTCTGGGCTAAAACAACCCATGGCTTGGTCTGTACTATCTCCCAGAGGCCCCCAGCAGGGACCAGTTGTCCACAGCAGCCTCCTGCCCATGAACAGGCTTTTTATTGTCTTTCCCACCCCTGACTCAGCTCCCCTGTCCCTCAGCAAAGCTGCTGCACATGACTCCCCAAACCACCTGCATTCACAACCTCTTGTCAGGGTACACTTCTGGGGAAACCCAAACTCAGACGCAGTCAGCACAACAACTGAAGATCTAGTGCATACCACGACACAGCGGGCAGATTCACCTGTCTACCAAGTGACACGTACCCTGGGACGGCAGCTAAGGGCCACATTTGGAACACATGGTTTATAGAGCAGGGTAGTTAATGGTTCTCCTCTAGGGGATGATTTGCCCCCCAGGGGACACTTGTTAATATCTGGAGTCATTTTGGTTGTCACAGCTGGGGATGAGTGCCGTTGACATTTAGTGGATAAGGCCAGGGTGCTGCTCAACATCTTACTGTGCACAGAACACAGCCCCCACGGTTCAGAAACCCTGGCACAGTGCAGCACCAGAGTTAGAACATCTGACTCTGGGTACTCTTCTCATCTCTAAAGAGAGGATGAAATATTTACTTCACAAGGTATTTATGAGTCTTGAGTTGAGGTAACTAGAGTGTGGAGTCAATTTTTCCTTCATTCTACAGTGCCAACCTTGTGCCACGTAATAACCAAGTTGGTGACCTAACAGGGATGGGAAAGCCATCATCTCTGCCTTCAGAGAATCCAGGGCTGTGTATGGAGAAACCGTGCGATCACTCAATGCCTTTCCAGTGTGACGCCTGGCTCTAGTAAGGCATGTGGTCGGTGTGCTTGGCAGAAGAACACAGAGAAGGAGCCATGCTTCTTGGAAGTCAGGAAGGGATATTTGAGGTGAGAGGTCGGGATTGGCAGGTGACTAAGCAGAGCGGGGCCTCTCAGCAGAGGAATCAGCCTTCTGCAAGGGCACAGAGCCCTGTAAGAGTTGGCCCATCTGCGGCATGCTGACCATGTTCAGAGCATAGGAATGTGAAAAAAAGAAGAGACAGATGAGGCTGGGAAGAAGCCTAATCACAGGCTGGGCCAAGGTGAGACAAGTGGCATCCAAGGCATTGACCCTGCTGGGACTCACACAACCCGGAGAGCAAGTGTCTCCTTCATGCTGGTGCCTTAGGCACCCGCACATGCCTCAGCCTAGGCCCAGCCTTCCTCCTGCGTCATGCTAAGAAGCTGGAAAGTCTAGTCTGCCGGCCAGGAGCAGCCAGCAGAAGTCTTGGACTTCTTTCATTTTCAGGAGCATAACCTGGCTCAAACAGAGGTCCAATGTGCCACGTCTCATCCAACAAAATGTCTAGTTCAGATCAACAAGAAAGCAGAGCTTTGCCTTTCTAATTAGCTCCTCCACCTAAATGGAATACTGTTAGAGACTGGCCCTTCTTCAGACCCAACACACAGCAAATTCCTGGGCACAGAAGGTGAACGGGATCATGGTTGGTGAGAAGCCTGCAAGAGTCTGGTCCGCAGTTAAATTGATCTGTTCAAGTTGGGAGATTAAGGTAGTGTTTTGAATGAGGGTCAGAGCTCATGTTGACTCACTGATGCAGGCTTTCTTAAAGTTAGATATTTATATTGTTGGATAGCAAAATATGACTTAGTTATCCAGTCTTAGCTTTGTCTAAATTGGGGCATGTGAAGGGGAAGAACGAGAGTCAGGGAAAGATCTTTGAAAGAGTTAAGAAACTAAATTTAGTTCAAGCCCCCTTGAGATAGTCCACAAGTGTACATTTGCTCAAAGACCACTGATATGCCAGGAGAAAATTATTCTTGTCTATTACCAAATGAGAGTCATCTTTGAGGAACTCTTAGTGACGGAGTTTTAAATCCTGTTTCGATAAACTTTATCTATTATGTTTATAATGATCACAATTGCTATTTGTTTAAAAAAGCATATTTAGCCCTGGCTGGTGTGGCTCAGTTAGTTGAGCATTGTCCTGTGTACTGAAAGGTTGCTGATTTGATTCCAGGTCAGGACACATGCCCAGGTTGCAGACTCAATCCCTGGTGGGGGTGCATGCAGGAGGCAGCCCACTGATGTTTCTCTCTCCTTTTCTCTCTGTCTAAATATATATATATATATTTAATCCTCATCTGAGGATATTTTTTTATTTATCATCAGATAGAATGGGAGGGAAGGAGAGAGAGAGAGAGAAACATCAACATGAGAGAGACACATCGACTGGTTGCCTCCTATACGACCCTGACCAGGGTCGGGGACGAACCACAACCAAGGTACATGCCGTTGACCGGAATTGAACCTGTGACTCATTGGTCCGAGGGCCAACACTCTAACCACTGAGAAAAACCAGCCAGGGTAAAACATATTCTTCTTTAAAAGCACATTTATTTTATAGTAGTCTGTAATTCAGGAGTTTCACCAACTTGTCTGGGATTCTTGTCATTGGTGAGACTTCACTACAAATATCATTTTATCATTCTTTCCACATCTAAACATCAAGAGATTCTTTTAAAAACCGGTCCAACAAGGCTGGCAGATGTCAAAGCAACAGAGATAATGGAAAACAATGTCCCATACATTCTCTAAGACTCACTATCACTCCAAATCCACCACTGGAGCTGTAGGTATAGCCTACAGTAATAGTATTCCATTAAATCTGCTGCCATCACCTGGAACAATAGTTCCCAACCCTCTCAGATGAAAATCACCTTCTAAAAGAAATTCTTTAATCCTGAACTGTAATTCATAGACAATATAACTTACCAACCACATATATTTTTTTAAATCCTCACTTCAGGATATTTTTCTGTTGATTTTTAGATAGATGGAAGGGAGGGAAGGAGAGAGAGAGATACAACAATTGGTTGCCTCCCACAGGAGCCCCACCTGGGTGGGGATCGAACCTATAACCCAGGTACCTGCCCTAGACTGGGAATCAAACCCACAAACCTTGGGCCAACACTCTAACTGCTGAACCAAACTGGCCACTGCACCACATACTTTAAAAACTACAAAATGCCCTTGTGTAATACAGAGAGAGAAAAGGTGTATAAGAATACCGTGCCACGTGCACATCTATATGAAAACCATTAGAAAGGAGGTGCTGGAAGATTCAATGAAGAATTGTGATGCTTGCACAAAAGCCTCCACGTACGCCACAGCCACAAATGTGGACCCTTTGGGGTGTGGTAAATGGGTGGACACCAGGAGCAGCCCTGCCACTGGTGACAAGTGATTCCACGAAAAGGGAACAATCCTTGACGAAGTACCCATCGAGGAAAGAAATGCACAGTGCATGCCTTTCCCGGAGATTGCTTTCCTGCAAAAATTGGTGTGTATTTTATTTTATTTATTTTATTTTAATTTATTTATTTTTGTTACGGGTGTTTCTCCTTTTCCCCCCATTGACACCCACCCTCAAGCATTTTTGTCTATGTCCATTGGTTATGCTTATATGTTCTTTGATTTATTTCTACCTCCCCCACCCTCCTTCTCTGAATTTTGTTAGTCTGAATCTTATTTCTATGTCTCTGGGTCTATTTTGTTCATCACCTTATTTTGTTCATTATATTCCACAAATAAGTGAGATCATGTGATACATGTCTCTCTCTGACTGGCTTATTTCACATAGCATAATACTCTCCAGGTCCCTCCAGTTGCTCTCAAAGGATAAGAGATCTTTCTTTCTTACAGCTGCATAGTATTCCATTGTGTATATGTACCACAGCTTTTTGTCCACTCATCTACTGATGGGCAATTGGGCTGCCATCAACAAATCATCAAACAAGTGCTGGCGAGGGTGTGGATAAAAGGGGACTCTAGTACACTGCTGGTGGGAATGCAGACTGGTGCAGCCACTATGGAAAACACCATGGTGTTACCTCAAAAAATTAAAAATTGAACTGCCATTTGACCCAGTGACCCCACTTCTAGGAATATACCCTAAGAAGCCTGAAACACCAATCAGAAAGAATATATGTACCCCTATATTCATAGCAGCACTATTTATAATTGCAAAGATCTGGAAACAGCCCAAGTGTTCATAAGTTGATGTGTATTTTTTTTTTTTAATCCTTACCTGAGGACATTTTTCCATTTTTTGTTCAGATAGAGCAGGAGGGAGAGAGAGGGAGAGAGAGAGAGAGAGAGAGAGAGAGAAACATCAATGCAAAAGGGACACATCGAGTGGCTGCCACCCGCATGACCCAACCAGTGCCAGGGACAAACTGCAACCGAGGTACATGCCCTTAGCGGGAACTGAACCAGGGTCTCTCTGGACCACAGGCCGAGGCTCTAACCACTGAACTAACCGACCAGTGCTGTTGGTGTATATTTTAAAGTGTGTACTTGTTCGTTGATTGCATCTGCTTTGGTGTGCATGCTTTTAAGGGTAAACGCAAAGAAAAAGCCATGCCTTGCCAGGTCATTCGGAGAAAGTGTAGCACCAGAACAGGAAGTGTAGGCTTAGGGCTTTGCGCCCCCCAGTGGTGACAACAGGCTGCAATGGAATGAAATTTGAATCCAGCCGCCGCCTGCAGAGGGCCAGCGAGCACAGGCATGCGCAAAGGTGATACGCCGGCCCCCAGGAGCGCCAGAAAGAGATCCGGCTGCAGAGCAGGCTGCCATCCCAATCCGGCTCAGCCTGGAAAGCAGGAGGCTCTGCGAGGTAGCGGCTCCTAAGCAGCTCCTACGCGGCTCCTGCACCGCTCCTGCACCGCTCCTGCACCGCTCCTGCACTGATAGCCGCTTCCCCAAATCGTAAGTACCTCATGCAGTATCTTGTGCATTGCTTTCTGGGTGGTGGGTTCTTGGTGTTTGTTTTGAAGTGAGGCTGCTCGCTGCACTCTGCAGTGATGGCACTTACCAACCGGTATAGTGATATTAAGACGAATAGTCACCCCGTGCATAAGCACACTTACACTTTCTCGTTTTTTAGGGCCCCCATTGTATAGCACAATGGATAAAGCTTTAGAACAAGCTTTGGACCATGCGGAGGGTGTCATTGAAAGTGCCCAACAGAGACCTCCTAAAAGGAAGCACTCGTCTAGTGGGGAACAATCTCTCCACGAGAAACTATATGACATATACGTGGAAGAGTGTGGGAAAGAGTCCGAGGTTACAGAGGAATTGACAAGCAATGTGAACTTGTTAGAGAAGCTTGTTAGCAGGGAGCCCTTGCCCTGTTTGGTGGTCAACCTATACCCAGGCCAGAAGGGTTACTCACTGATGATCAAGGGACTAGATGAAGAATATTCAGAGACTATTCGGCTGCCTTATGAAGAAAAGGAATTTCTTGAATACTTGGATGCAGAAGAATTGCCTCCTATTTTGATGGATCTCCTGGAACAGTCTCAGGTTAACCTTTTTCACCGTGGGTGTGTCATAGCAGAGATACGGGACTATAGGCAGTGCAGTCATGGGGAACCCCCTGGTTACCAAAGCAGGCATATCCTCCTACGCCCAACCATGCAGACGTTAGCCTGCGATGTACATTCCATAACCAGCGATCACCAGGAATGGACCCAGGAAGACAAACTTTTACTTGAGAGCCAGCTGATCTTAGCCACAGCTGAACCCCTGTGCCTTGATCCTTCTGTATCTGTAGCCTGCACTGAAAACAGGCTGCTCTATCACAAGCAAAAGATGAACACTGTGGCAATGCGGAGGAACTTCCAGAGGTATTCTACCGCCTCCCTGAACCGGCGGCAGCGGGAGCTGTCTTGTGGGCCACCCCCTCCTGAGCTAAGGGCACAGGCTCCTGACCAAAAACGCAAAGAAAATCAAGCAGGTCAGCAGTCTGACCTCCCAATTTCCAAGCCGGGAGATTGTGTAGATATGTGGAAAGAGCAACCCTGTGCCTTGGAGGTCCCTTCTGCATTGGATGTGGAGAAATGGACTGAAGAGGAGAGGCTGGTCATACATGACTTACAATCAACAGTCTGGCCAGCCCAGGAGGTAAAAGAGAGTTCTCTGTTTGGAGGTCAAGCTGGCGATCAGTCCCAGACAACAAATCTGACTTCCATGCAGTCTCTTAATGATCTATTTATCTCTGGACCAAGACAGCCAAGCAAAGCAGCCAGAAGTGACAGACAGATGTCTCCTTGCCACTCCTTCGCAGATGAGCATTTCAGTACTTTCATGCCTGGATCCAAGACTAATGCTGGAAAGGCAGCCGGTCAGCCCGAGGAATCAGTGCAGAAGAGTGTCAAATATCCAGTCTCAGTGTCCCTGGGCTGCAGTGGCTCAGCCAGTCTCAGCCAACTTTCTCCAGGGAAAGAAGCAAAACAGCCTCTGGCTCTGTCCGCTCCGTCTTCAGTGCTGGGGAAGGGAGTCCAGCAGCCACCTCCACCCATCAGTCTTTTCTCCAGCTCAGGAAACAGTTCCTCAGGCAACAGTTTTATTGCACAGAAGGCAAGCAGCGTTTATGCGTGTCCGTCTCCTGCTTGGTTGCCACCAAGTCTTCCCCAGAAACCGTCTGTGGAAGTGAACCGAGCTAGCAGCCTTCCAGCGGCCACCCAGCCCACCGCCGGCTCCTCACAAACAAGCCCGGCCAGCCAGATCCCAGCCGAGTCTGCTGGCCCCAAGGTCATCCACCTGGTGGGTCCGGTCCGGGTAGTGCGCACTGTGGTGAGTGGTTCCAACCCTGTGCAGGGCTCTGCCCCTGGGGTCAGGGCTCCTGCAGGAGCCAAGCCCCGAAGCCTGCCCCCCGGAGGCCAGCCGCCAAATGCAGGGCCGACTGCACCGCAGGCTCCCACTCAAGGAGGTGTTCAGTGTACCTTAGAAAGCTTTGCAAATCTCAAGCCCGTGGGTCTACTGTGGGTCCCACAAGACTTGGACATTTCAAAGGGCCAACAGCCTCAGCAGCTGCTTTGTCAGTTGTTTCCAGAGCCACAGCCTCAGCTGCTCCCTGCTCCTGGTCCCCAGCAGCCAGTGTTTCAGGGTTTCAATGCACAAGGTCCAAGTGCACAAAGTTCCACCAGTCAACAAGCAGCCTTATTATCTGCTCAGCAAGCTGCCATCTTTCACTTCAATGGAGTAGGAAGTGTTCTGCCACCCGGGGTAGCTGTGCTGTCTCCGCCTGGTTCTGCCCAGACAAGACCTGGGCCAAGCCCTGCCCAGCAGAGGTTCCAGCTCCCCTGTGCCGTCAGGCAGCAGCAGCTGCAGCCCAGGCTGCTGTCGCCACCGCTGCCGCAGCTGCCGCAGCCACCGGTGCCACCGCCACCACTGCCGCAGCAGCCGCGACCCCGGCTGCCGCCGCCACCGCCGCCACGTCTGCCGCGGCCCCGGCTGCTGCAGCCACCTGTGCCCCGGCTGCCACGGCCCCGGCTGCTGCCGTCACCGCTGCCACGGCCGCAGCGGACCCAGGTGCTGAAGCTGCAGCCGCCACCACCGCCGCCGCAGCAGATACAGGTGAGAATCTTGCCGTTCCCAGGGCTTATGGCCCCAGCAGCAGCCCAAACACCTCAGCCAGGCGGGAGGCAGCAGACAGCAGGCAAGCCCAGAGGCCAGGAGGGTGGAGGCCTGCCCAGCGCTCCCAAATCCTGAGTCCTGCCTTCTGTTCCTTCTTGTGAAAAAGAAAAAGGCATCGACCCAAGTGAATCCTGAGTTTTTGCTTTATTCTCGGTTATTTTAATGTGTTGGTATTTTTCATTTTAGGTGTGCAAACTTTATATAGAAGCATAACCCCATGATTTTTACATAGAAACAGAGTGATTTAATAACCTGGGATTGCTCTGCTTACAATATTTCTGTTGCTGTTGTTAACGTAGTGGTTTCTATTTTAATGTTCTAAAATATATCAGATTCACATCAGGTTCAGGTTAAACTCCTGAAGCCTATTATTTCTCTGAAACAGTAAATCTACAATACCGATAGAGTTAGATTAATTTAGCAAGGTGAATGACCTTTAAATTTTTTGCTGGGTTAAGGAGCACGTCCCATAAAATATACCATCTTAACCACGGAAAGTTGCATGTGGTGCAACAGGTCTCTGGAACTGGGTCATCCTGCCAAAGGGACCCGGGCCCCTCCGTGAGCACCAGCTGCCCTTTGCTGGCAACCCAGCTTGCTAGATGCTTTCTCTGAGCCTGACTGCTTTAGACACTCCCCGTGCGTGCAGCCATACAGGCGTTGTCGTTTGGCGGCTGGCTTCTTGCACGTAGTGTGATGCCCCTCAGGTTCAGGTGACAGGAAGGTTATGGCTTTTCCTGTGGTTCCACTGTCCATAGGTGAAGGGACCTATGAAATGTTAGCAACATCTTTCAGAAGAATGTACTTTCGGTATGTGTTTATGTAGCTCAGAAGGTTTTTGCGCAGCGTGTGAGAATCAACTTTTACAAAATTGTGTGTTAAAAATGTTACAATGACCAGAAATGATGCTCGTCACACGTGCTGCAGACACAGGCGACCTCTCGATGTGCGGGATGCGTGAGGACAGGGCTGCGGGCGGCCCCAGCCCTTCCAGAGGCTCCGCACACTCAGCGCCCACCACACAGCCCAGCTCTGCCTCCCCAGGCCGCAGGCAGGGCCGGGCAAGGCCCTTCTGGGAGGTCTTGTTGTCTCTCTTTCTAAAATCATTTATAGTTTTAGAAGTCTATCTTATCTGCAGAAAATACATAGCTAAACATGTGCAAATGAGCTTTGTTTGTTTGCCTTTCAAGTGTTTGCAGCCTTGTTGGAGTCTGAAGCAGAAGCAGCCCCCTTTTCTCTCTCTTCCTTCTCTGCTTAGTGCTCATCAATTGTCCTGCTCCCTCTGCTCTTCTCTCCTCCTGGGGTGTTTCAATGGGCCTCAACAGATCCCTGAACTTTTCTGTGTTCTCCTCCCCTTTCTTTGGATTGAGATGTAACTGACACAGAAGCAACCCGTGTGAAGTGTACAATTCCGTGGCATTTGCTAATGTGCAGTGTTGTGCCTCCACCATCTATTTCGAAAACATCTCCTCACCCCACATAAATCTCTGTACCCATTAAGCCCTTGGTTCCTATCCTCCCCTCCCCCTGCCCCAGGAGCTACCATTTTGCCTCTGTCTGGGTGGACTTCCCCATCTACATATTTCCTGTGAATGGACTCATACAGTACGGGGCCTTTTGTGTCTTGGCCTCTTTTCCTTGACATCATGTTTGCGAGGTTCATCCACGTTGTAACATGTATGAATGCTTGGTTCCTTCTTATTTCTGAGCAATAGCCCATTATTGGAATATGCCAGGACTGTTTATCCTTTCTCCACTGATGTGCATTTTGGTTGCTTCCACCTATTAGCTATTTTGTATAATGTTGCTGCGAACATTGTACACAGGTTTTTGTTTGTGCATCTCATATTTTGCTTTGTTACAACTTTGAAGGACACCCTGTGTACATCTAATTTGTTTTTCTAAGTACACATGTAATGTTTCTGTGCCTTTTGCCCTAACAACAAAAAAAAGGCAATTTTTTTTTTAATCCTCACCTATGGATATTTTTCCATTTTTGTTCAGATAGAGTGGGAGTGAGAGAGGGAGAAAGAGAAACATAAATGTGAGAGGGACACATTGACTGGTTGCCTCCCACACAACCCCAACCAGGGCCAGGGACAAACCACAGCTGAGGTGCGTGCCCTTGAGTGGAATCGAACACACGACTTATTGTTCCATGGGCCGACGCTCTAACCACTGAGAAGTACCGCCCAGGGCCCATTAAGGAAAGATTTTTTTTTATTTTTTTATCCTCACTCGAGGACATTTTTCCATTTTTTGTTCAGGTAGAGTGGGAGGGAGAGAGAGGAACAGAGAGAGAGAGAGAAACATCGACGTGAAAGGGACACATCGAGTGGCTGCCACCCACACAACTGACCAGGGCCGGGGACAAACTGCAACCGAGGTACGCGCCCTTAGCGGGAACCGAACCTGGGTCTCTCCGGACCGCAGGCCGATGCTCTAACCGCTGAGCCAAACCGGCCAGGGCAAGGAAAGATTTTTGATCGACTTCAAACAAACACCTCAAATACACCACGTGAGTGACACTGCACCCGTTCGAGCTTCTGCCGCCCATCCTGGACGTCGTTGGCAGTGGGACCCGCACTTTTAAAGAGTGAACCAGCGCAATGACCGCTTGCAAAGAAGAGTTTATGCCCGACCTTGGGAACCAACCAGTGACCCGAACTCAGACTCTCAGCAGATTTGATGTAATTCTTCCCTTTTGCTAACCTTGTGCTTGAGTAATGTGCCTTCCTAGGCAAGCAAATAAATTTAGCTTTGTTTCAGAAAACCTTTTGTGGTCTTTGTATCCTTAGCATGATCTCCAGCAGTTAGAAAAATGATGCAACTGAACAGAAACATTCTCATAGATACAGAGAACATTTTGTTGGTTGCCAGATGGGAGGGGGGTTGGGGGAATGGGTGAAAAAGGTGAAGGGATTAAGAAGTACAAATTCATTGCTAGACAGACAAACCTCAAAGGGAAAGGGGTTGGGGGGTGGGAAGAAATAAACCACAGAACTTATGTGCATAACCAATGGACACAGACAATAGTGTGGGAAAAGGTGGAAGGGGGGCGGGAGAGGGGAGGAGGGGGTCATGGGGGAAAAATGAGGAACATCTGTAATACATTCAACAATAAAGATTAAAAAAAAAAAAAAAAGATGCAACTGCCATACTAATGAAGGGGAAAGAATATCACCCTTGAAGTAAAATGCCAGAGAATGTACTGACTCCCACAACTATGTAGGGAGGAGTCCCATGTCCCTGGTAGTCTGTCAGGCTCTAGATGGGATAGGGAGAATCCAGATAACCAAAGGAAAGCAGAATACCTCTTTAGAATGTAGATCTTATCAAAAGTCATGTAATTTTATACTTCAGCAATTTTATCTAGATTTCCACTATGGTAAAGTCCCAATGGAATAATGAATGTTACACATTTAAAGAACAGTATACAATAGAGAGAAAGTGAAAAAGCAGAAGGCTCAAGATTTTAGTGGCTATCACCCCACCACAAATCAGTGGGCAGAACACAGACCAAGGAGCCAGTGGAAAGAAGATTCCAGACAGAAAAGTATTGCCCACCCCCGTGAAATCCAGGTATGCTTACCTACATAGAGAATTTGTACTTATTTATAAATGATCCATTTAAAAATCTATTATTTCATTCTACATTTACGCCCAGTTCTAAGACACTTTTCTTTCTTCTTTCTTTCTTTCTTTCTTTCTTTCTTTTCTTTCTTTCTTCTTTCTCTTCTTTCTTTCTTTCTTTCTTTCTTTCTTTCTTTCTTTAAATCCTCACCTGAGAATATTCTTCTATTTATCTTCAGACAGAGGCCTTGTTTCTTTTTTTTTTTTTTATCCTCACCCGAGGACATTTTTCCATTTTTTGCACAGATAGAGTGGGAGGGAGAGAGAGGAAGAGAAAGAGAGAGAGAAACATCGATGTGAAAGGGACACATCGAGTGGCTGCCACCGCACGACCAACCAGGGCCGGGGACAAACTGCAACCGAAGCACGTGCCCTTAGCGGGAACCGAACCCGGGCCTCTCCGGACCGCAGGCCGACGCTCTAACCGCTGAGCCAAACCGGCCAGGGCGTTTCTTAAAAGCAATAGAAATATGTTAGGGTCCCATTCCCACTTCTCCCACTTTCCAACTGATACCAATATTGTCTTTGGTTTTTGTTATGTGCTACTTCCTGAAAGCACCGTGACCACCTGTTTATTAGGGAAAGCTGAGTTTATTATCACTGGTAAGGGAGAGGACAACCCTGAAGCTTAGTAGTATTTCAGCTAGTTAAATATCTTTTTCTTTTTGTTAATCCTCACTCGAGGATATTTTTTCCATTGATGTTTATTTATTTTATTTTTATTTTATTTCTTTTTAATCCTCACCCGAGGATATTTTTTCCATTTATCTTCAGACAGAGTGGGAAGGGGTGGGGGGAGGGAGAGAGAGAAACATGGACATGAGAGGGACACATTGATTGGTTGCCTCCTGCACAACCCTGACCAGGGTTGGGGGTGAACTGCAACCGAAGTACGTGCCCTTGACCGGAATTGAACCCGTGACTCTTTGGTCCACAGGCTGACACTCTAACTGCTGAGCCAAACTGGTTAGGGCTAACTCCATTTTCAAGTGAGGAAACGAAGAGATTAATGTAATTTATCAAAGGTCATACACATCTCGCTCATGGAGGGGCCAGGATTTGAATCTAGATAGTCTGGCTCTAGAACCCATGGTTTTAACCACTAAACTAAAGCTGCTTAATAATTTTAAAGGGCTAGTGTAGGACTAACGAGGGCTAGATCCAACTGCAATCTATAAAGTTACTGCCATAGAAAAATGCATATAAATAAATCCTTAGAAGACAATTCTTTCGTAGATTGGGACTTCCTCCACAGAGAGATCAGGGATTATTGAACACCATGGAATTGTCAGTTATCCACTGTATTAAAATAAGCAGAATTATCCAAAGTAGCTTCATTCTGGTTTGCTGGGCAGAGCAGAGTGTGGAGGGGGCTTCCACTGAACTCAGGTTTTTGATAAGAGGGCACATCAATTCTAAGGGGCTCTGCTGAGAAACTATGGAGGGTATGAGACTTTCCCTGCTTGTAAGCTAACAAGTTAGTCTGCTTTAGTTTCATGGATGTGGGCAGAAGATACAAGACTACTATTGGGTCAGAGATAAATGACTTGATTACTCATAGCACAACAGGCAGCAATAAC